GATGACCGCTCCTCGTCGAACTCGTCCCTAGAAGGAGGGGTAATGTCATGGACCTATTCATGTAAGCCAGTAATTACATGTATAAATAGGTAGAAGTAAATAAAAGTAGATAAAAGTAAGTTAATTCTATAGTATTTGATATGGAAGCTTCTTAGAAGCTTTATAGATGCTGCTTTGTCTTTATAGGTGTCTTAAATTGACTTTTTGGGATTAAAAACGTGGTCAACAAGTTAGCCATGTGCCACACATGTTGTTAGCTTGAAGACCAAGCTAACTATGTGGCCCACATGTAGAAAAACTTGCCTTGTAAGTCAAGGCATATGTCTTACAAAGTCAACACATATTGGAGGTCCTATAGAACGTCGCCACATAGCCCCTAGTTAGATAGTATATATAGAGACAAGAGTGAAGCCTTCTTCACTCTTGTCAATTCTTTTCTTGCTTCCAATCTAATTTCAAGGGTCTTTAGTTTTCTTGACTTTTGGCAATAGCCATTCCAGTTTCTCTTTCAATATACATACTTGTTTATTTATATTTTGTTATCTTTCTTTGAGTGAAGGCTCACTTGACTGAATTGCTTTTTCATCAAGTTCTTGTCCTTGATAACATGCCTTTATGAAAAGAACGAGATATAAACTTTAAATTCTTCGCTTTGATTAAAGAAGAGAATACCTTTCTTTTAATTTTAATCAATATGTAGAAGCTCATGGTATTTAATTTCAACTTATCATAATATATATTCCTTATCAAAATGGTGTTGTGGAATAAAAAAAAATACACTCTTCTCAATGCTACAAAATATATACTCTATGCAACTAAATTATCACAATCATATTAGGATGAAGGTATCACATGCATCACATATCTTCAAAATTATTATCCTACCAATTTCATTTCAAATGATAGAACTCTCTTTGAATTATAGCAAAAAAAAAAATATATATATATATATATATATATATATATATATATATATATATATATATTCATCTTTATATTTTTGGAAGCCAATATTTTGCAAAAATTTCAAATTTTCTTTGTGTTAAATTTGATAACAAAACTTTTGAATGTATATTGCTTAGTTATAGCTTTCTTAATAGAAGATATAAGCTTCAAAGAATTACTAATGGCGTACTTCTTATATCAAAAGATGTTGTGTTTTAAGGGGAGCATGTTGCACATTTTTTTCCTAATATATACTTTTTGAATCCTCATAACTAAATAATTTTAGTAGATATGCATATTTTTTAATCTATGGACTCTTCTATTCTAAAGCCAACTCAAGGCAACTTTGGAATAATGCTCCGTGACTACCTAAGGCCTCTTCCAAGTAGTTGAGGATCTCTTCTTGATCATCTAAGGTTCCTTCTTAGTCGTTTTGGTGTAGAGAGCTTTCATAATCGCTTGGAATTTCCCTCCATAAGAAATCTTCCTAAATTTGGTGTTCCTTCTAAAAGAAAATCCATGACAAATGGTCATGAGTCCCTTAAATTGGACGTAGTCCCATAACTTGTATCAGGTAGCCATAAGTTCTTTGAGATGCAGACTCCTATCTTGTAGTAGGTAGTAGTGGCTTCTCCTTGTCCCAATCTGTAAGCTACTTGACTTTTGAGGACTCTTTTTGTTCAATTCTCTTACTCACCTCAAAGAGTATCAATTCGCCTTGGCATGTATTAGACCTCTATTTAAGACTAGAGTTCATGTTGCATCTCAACAAACATGTGTAATTTCTTCGCTTGCCTATAACTGACTCTAGATCCGATCTAAATACTCCAATAGAAGCTTATGACTTGTTTCTTATTATTCAAGTACGATACTCTTTTTAACACAATAAAGATATTTCTTTGTCACATGATCATATTGAAAATTATATCATAGAGCCTTTTCTTCTTCATATTAAACTAAGTAAAGCAATAAAGAATTTTTTTGCTTTAATTATAATTTCTACTATTTCTATTGAACTTATAAGCTATTCTCAAATAATTAATTCTTCAAAGGAATTTCAATGGCAATGGGCAATAAAAGAAGAGCTCAATTTTAATGTTGTTAATGCTACATGGTCATTTATCAAGCTTTTTATTAATTGCAAGCTCATCACTTGTAAATGGATATTTAAAATTAAGCTGAAGAATTTGGAGGTTGTGGATCGCTTCAAAACCCATCTTGTGGCCCATGAATTCAACCAAATTTTGGGTTTGGATCATAATAAAACTTTTTCAGCTATTGTTTGATTCCAATCTAATAACCTCATTGTTGCTTGAGCAATTCAACTTGATTTATATGTCTATCAAATAGATGTTAAAATGGCTTTCTTGAATGGACATCTTCAAGAAGGGATCTGTATGAAGGTTCCAAAAGGAGTCATCTCTCCTCAACCAGTTATCTTCTACCTACTGCCCAACCACCAAAGATGCCCACCATGAAGTTAATCTTTTTTCTTAGACTAATATCATCAAGTCCTTAAATTGGGCCATGATTTGCATATGGCTTGACCTTTCTTTTGTGATAAGTATGTTGAGTCAATATATGCATGCTATTGGCCCAACCCATGTGCGGGCTACTATGCATAACATGTCCAGCTAGCTACATGGTCATTTGTCCAGCACCTACAGTTAATAGGCTTGCTTGGAGAAGCAACCCCAGCCTCACCACAATATGATTAAGAGGGTGTATTAGAACAAAATATCCATTAACCATAGTAGTAGGATGAGCAATTAGGGTGACGACTAGAATTCATTCAATGGAGGGGTGCGAACTTCCAGGAGCACCTCCCTCCTTGGATTACACATGCACAAACACACACAGTTTTGTGTGCATTCAATATATTATTATTTCATTGTATCAATTGTTATTGTATTATTCATTACAGAATTATTATATTATTCTAATAGTCGAGACCAACCCAGACCAATCATCTTTGCCTGCGAGTCCATTTGTCTCATACATCCCATGCATCTGGCGGTGGCGTTACCAGACTCGGGCGACGATGTTCACGAGCTGCGTAGTTTTGCAGTCTTGCATGATCTTGATTGGAGGCAATGCGGTGTTTTGAATGCGGCGTTTGTGTTCCGCGAGCTCGCTGGTGTTGCTAGTTTCGAAGATTGGGTTAGTGTCTGGATGTCCTCCAGTCGCGGCGACGGTGTCGATGAAGTGAGGTTACGATTTCCGAGACCAGCCGACGATCACGTCACAGTGAAAGGCTAGTTTTCTTTCCGAAGCCTACATGGAAGGGATGACTTTGTGTTTTCAGTTGTTCACACAATTGGCGCGGTCGGGTGCCAACTGGTGACCCTCCTCCTGAATGACTATATCACCAATGTTGAATTTCACAACTGCCGAAGATGGGGACGGCCTCAGCTTGCAGAACTTGGACCTCAGAATTTCTGATAAATTTGACAAAAACTGGCAAAGGAATCTGTAGATGGAAGAGGTTATTACCCAAACCGATCAGGTATTTTGAAACTCGGTGTACTTCAATCAAACCATTGTCGAGGAGCGTGCTCAAAGTAGGGAGATTATCTTCCGCCAGTTTGCTATCACAAGTAGCAGGATAGCTATAATCAACCCTTGAACTGAAAAGGAAAGCTAGATCCTGGTGATGAATGCCAAACCCCTACTTGCACAGCGCGACTCGACGGAGTGATCTACTTTCTACTAGATTCGGGCGACAAGTGGCTCAATCGAGTTGTGGAAGATGGAAGACCTGTATTCTGCGTACAGGTTTCTGATACTTAAATCTGGAAAGTGATGGTGGTCGGAAGCTTTAGTGAAGTCGGTCATGTCATGTCGAATGCACTCCAACGACATAAATACTGTAATTTGTAAAAGTGCCAATGCTGTGACGGTGATATCCTCCGTCCAAAAAGCCGATGCTCTCTAATAAGTAACACTGTCTGGATACTCAATTGCGTTGACGTGGTCGCATTGTTATACGGCCCCGCCGTGATGAGCGCATTCAAGTCAATGTTCTCAATGGTGTCAATGTTATTGAATGATGTAATTTAATAGTTCACCTTTACTTGTGAGCGTTATACATACCTAGATTTTGGAATTTTACACTAGCGAGAATTACTTTCGCTGATTTAGGGACAGGATTTCTCCTCGACACTATTCAAGAGAGCTTTCATTGGCGGAGCATGTCGTAGAGACTTTGCAGTGGGCTACGTTGTTTAACATGATTTTTATTACTAATTCATGGAGCACTAGTTCCTTTAACAAAGTACGTAGATAAGATAAAGGAAATCAAAAATCAAGCTCGGGATCATATTTATCTTCAAGGAGAACCCACGGATCTGACAATATCACAAGGCTACTTCCATCGTAGTGCGCGAGCACGGAATTTCCTGTCCATGTCGTTTCCTTCTGAAAGAGAAGGGTTGTCACTGTATACGTAGCTTACTCTGATTCACTTTTAATTTGCTCCAAAGGTCTTGACTACACACGGAGAATCGATGCATTTGTCGAATCCAGAAGGGACATCGTGCGCGTCACCATCCAGAAACACCTCTAACACAGCTCCAAAAACTCTGCTCTTCAAGATGGATACAATGTCTTCATAGGTTGAGAGAGGACAGTACAGATCGCATGTCCGATGAGTTGCTAATTGCGTAGATGGGATGAGACTGTCCATGTGACAAGTGAGCTGTAACAGTGAACTGTCAAAACCCTGCGTTGACGGATTCGTTGGCTTCAAGGATAATAGACATGATAGGCGAGCTCGATTATGTACAGTTTTGCCATATTTCAAATCGCAACCTGAGTGGAGACAATTTCAACGAGCTCAATGGTGCGTTCCGTAGGAGACATCGTACACAATCTTTATAGAGGGTATAGCAAGCAAGATTGCAACACAGGGTATAGAACAATGCAGGATGGGTTCCTTCATCGCATTGGGGGGTGATCGGTAACCAGTAATAAAGTTGCAAAACACGTGTGGTCGAGGCTTCCAACAATCGGGAATAAAATCGCCCCAGAAGAAAATAGAGAACAAAGAGGAAAAATGAGGAGAGGTAGGCCTACCCCAACAGTGGATACTTGGCAAATATAACTTAAGGTTGAAAAGTTAGTACTCACTCGAAGACGAGTATATTTTCCCCAGCCGAAGTATGCACGTAAGCCCGACAATGACTACTTCGGTCAAGGCAGGTTCTGATGGTTCAGAGATATTCAAGGCACTCTCTGAGAAATACCAACATCATCTGAACATATAATTGTGTGCATTAAAGTTATTAAGTACAACAGCTACTGATGACCACTTTCGAAATGCTTAATCCTGCCACCAAGGCGGATCACCAAGCACAGAGGACTACTCGGATGCAACAAGGGGAGCAGAGTTCACCGCCCTGCAATTCTCTCTGATTTCTCCCTTTGTGCCAGCGGGAGGTCTGATATTGCCCATCTTGATGGTACTGAAGGCAAACTGTCGGAAGAAAGTCTTCTGATTGCGAGCAAAGTCCCAGACAATGGCTTGATTAATGCCCGGCGTGCTCCACAGCGTCTGATCGCTTCGGATAATACCCTCGCCTCTTCGCAAATTCTTGAAATAGTTATTGTCGAATTTTTCAGGGGTTTTAAGATCCAGGTTTTGCAATTTGAAGTCGTCTCCACCCGCTGGACACTCTTTAGCAAGGTTACTGCGGAATTCAGCGTTGGTGTCGGTGTCGTTCAGGAAGAGCCTGACAATCTGGCATCTGACTTTGCCAATTGTGTGAGCACCTGAGAATGCCACAAATGAGAGAATCAGGCATGAAAAGTGTAAATCGGTAGCTCAGTGCTACTTTGTCTAGCTCATCATATCAGTCTCTAATCGTTGCCGACTTGTCGTATCTGTACTGGAGTATAGTTTAGAATTGCAACTAGAACTTAGTACCTGAGAGTGCGATAAGATCAACTTCGTTAAGTCCTTGAAATTCAAAGTTCTTTTTTAGTTCGCTGTAATTGGCTCGAGGAGATGGTAGTCTTAAATTGGCTTCATCGCGACTTGCGTTCAGGCTGTCGAGACGACCGACGAACACTGGATATCTCTCGGACAATCCCACCTGCGACATGCAACCAGGGCCCCATGTGAACACAAACTTCCGATGAGCTTGCAGAAATTGAAAGATACAAGAAATTGTTTAACCACAGTATATCTTCCATTGTGAGTTGTGATGTGAACATCACAACGCCAGTCTGCAGAGATGAATATATTTACCTCAACAGCAGAGTCCCTCGAAGCGAGTGCAAGAATATCCGCACACGACACTGTTTTTGGACAAGCCTCCTCTAACTTGGCCTTAATACCGTCAATCACCTCAAAACCTCTTGCTGAATTGTTATTTGCGGCTGCAGTCTTTTCTCCGATGAAAGTTGCCGTATCATCCAATAGAATTGACCCATCGCATCCCTACCAAAACTCCAACTCAGCCAAGTACTTCGCAACACAAAGGCCGCAGCGCCAAAAATCTATTGCCTGTTCAAAATCGTGTAGTAACTACAATTCCAACAACATGGCCATGGAAACCGTTCTTTTGACACACATATAGTCGAGTACTAAAACCGTGCCTGTCCTTAATTTCCACAACCGAACTAGTAGTAGAGTGAGACAGTCACCACCGACCATGCTCCAGACATCATTCTGACACGACCTCGGCATCGGCGACACAGTACTCACATGGACGAAGCAATCATGAAAATGGAGGCGAACAAGGGAAGCCGCCATCCGTTTCTCGACCTTCACAGCCTTCTGAACCTCTTCCTTGACAATTGAGGAGAGTCGAGGGCACGAACGGGCGTAGTAGTCCGTGGTTAACAAACCCGAAGCTACTACAGCTTCAGCGCCGACGGTAGACACTACCGCCAGCAGCACCACAACCGACAGAACCCGCACCGCCATCACAGCTCCCGAAGCCCCCATCGCCTTCATCAACCAAGTCGAACAGTCAGTGACCCTTGCAATTCGACGTAAAAAGGCCCCAACAAGGAGAATGGGGGTTCCAGCAGCGGCCTTTTACAGTGACAGTTCTCCGGAGCTTATCGAAGAAGCCCTGTCGAAAAGCTCTCGGCTTTCCACGCAGTATGTGGGACTGAATTATGTCTCCTCTGAAAGCAATAGAATGGTTTATATTCCCTCCCCAAAGCAAGATTAATATAATTGCATCCCTCACTGCGGTGCACTGATCACGTGGGTAGGCTCAACTTCGCAACTACCTTCACCGTGCTGCTTTCCCATAGGAACGTCACTGTTTGTTTTTTTATCACTTTTTTCTGCCGTCTGCTTTCGACGCCATGTTTTGCTCCCCTTCCGTTCTCATGTTCAGCCTCCTTGTTCTTCAATCGTTATAATACATAAATAAATAAATAAATAAACAAAATTTCCATACGAATGTGAATATAAATTTGTGTACAGAGAGATTAATAATAAATTAACTCATGGAAATATTAAATCAAATAATTGCTCCACAGCAGTCAATGAACTGTACAAGTGGATTGATTCTCTAGCCAACAAGGTCAGAATCCTCTCCGTGCTGCACTTGTATTTCATAATTTGACCATGTGAGATGAGCTCTAAATCATATTGGTGAGTTCTAAGTTCATATTTGTGTGTGGCAATGGCCACCACAATTTTGCCATTGCCACCACAACCCATAAAAATTTCAATCAAACTTTAGTCAAAATTTTCTTTCTACTATCACCACAACCATTTCATCATGGTTCAATATAGATGTATATGTATGTGTACAAGTATATAGAAAAAAATATGGTGGCAGTATCCAATATATATATATATACATATATATATATATATATATAGAGAGAGAGAGAGAGAGAGAGAGAGAGAGAGAGAGAAAATGTGTATGTATGGATCTGGAAGTGAGAAGCAGTGAAATAAGTCTGCATTGGAAGAGAGGCTTTTGAGCACCCTGAGACTGCAAGAAGCACAAGCACATGGGGTTTTTAATGTGGATTTCAAACATGGTCAGGTGTGCCAGTACTACTAAGTTAATCTCATGACAAATCTTGATTTCTGCTTCTTAATGAAAACCTGAGCAACATTCTGAGCTCTGTTAACCTGCAATCAACACACCCCCCCCCCCTTTGTATTAAATAAATGAGAGGGACCATGGAAGAAGCAACTCCCACTGTACCCTGCTACCCAGTTTCATGTCTCTCCTGCATCCCTGTTTCTTTTTCTTTTCTTTATTATTATTATTTTTCCTCTCATAGACCCATTTCTATTATAAAATACAATAGTAAGAGGTGATAGATACTTCATGCACTAGACTTCTTTCTTTCTTTCGTAGTACCTTCGATTCTGTACCCTTCTGACAAATGAACAAGGGCCATGTTTCATAAAGACCCATTTTAGCTTTTGTTGTATGTGTGTGTGTTTTTTTTTTTTTTTTTTTTTTTATTCCCCTTCTTGGAGCTCCAGTCCAGCAAGTCCTTGTGGGTGTGCAAGAAAAAGGGTTCCTTTGGGGGGATGGGGCTATTAGCACTATATCCAAAGCCCCTTCCTAGATTCGTGTTTGGTGCATTTCTATTTGCTTCTAAGCTTATTGTGAGCTGGAAGGGGGCTGATAATTTGGTGGTACCTTGTCCCACATGACCAGAACTCCTTTTCCTTTGCCTTTTGACTCTCTATCAAGTTATCCTATTTTATTGTAGAATGACTGTATCCTTTTTTTAATTTGTCTCACCCCAAGTGATAGATTTTCTTGTAATGTCTGTCTCTTTATGTTCCTTTTCAATTATTTTACAGGAATTTTTTGAAAAAATCTTTAACTTACCAAAACTCTATTGTAAAATTATAAAAATATAATATAATAATAATAATAATAATAATAATAAAAGTAATGCTATGTAACCTTTGTTATTATTCTCTGTTTCTAACATATTATTACTACTGACACAATGAAGATGTCATCAAAAAGCAGTACTAAACCACATTTGTAATCTCTATAACTACTCATCAAAAATATTGGCAACAAACGACCACACATGAAAACACACTCTACTTACATGATAATCCTGACCACTAAACAAAACACGCCACTTATCAATAACAAACATCAACATGATCTGCCTATCAAACATGCCAATTAAGAGCAAGAAAAACCAAACATGAAAATATTAGCAAACTAAATGGCATGTTTGCCACTAAACATAACCCCTAAATCCAAAGCACCAACATAATCTTTCTAACAAACTAAGCGGCATGTCTGTTAGCAAAAACTCTAGAACCTAAACAGCAACAGGATCTTATCAAAGGTGGAAAATGGTACCCACTTAGTGTAAACAAAGACCAAAAGTGTGCAATCTGATGCAGGAATGGGACCATGGCCCTTTCGCTGCAGTAGCCCACTGACTGGAGAAAGCATTGCAAGCGAGGCAGTGAAGATCCAACGACCTCATAACTCTCTGGACTCATAACTTCAAAGCCACCTTAACGTGTTTTGTGAGCGCTCTAGACTCTGCACATGGCTCAGTAGTGCACACGCGATGTGCACGTCTCCTCCTTCTCCTTCTCCTTCTCGCACTACTCTCGCGAATCAGTCAATGTTCGCTGCGGAGCACGCCGGACCCATGAAGGTGCCGATTGCAGACATCCATCGCGTAATGCAGTTGGTTTGGCTCGTGCGCATCAACAGATCATGGCGTTGAGTCTATCATCGACCGCGGTGTTTTTAATAAATACTTGGGTCAATTTAATAATTTCTTATATTTCTGTACTTAGATTGATAGATATATATCAATGAAGATTGTTTGAATTGTTAGTAGTGCAGCACATTAGGTATCATCAAGCTTTGTTGTGTATTTACACCTCTCCATTGAATTGCATTGAAAAAGTTGAATGTTAGTGGTTGAAAATCAAGATGATTAGCAAATACCAAAGCAAGTAATGGAAGTAGAGACACTAGATAGATCTAATTGTTGAGTATGCATTTTTAATTTTGTACTTGTTATGTTCTCTTAAGAAAAAGTAACCACAGATGAGTTACAAATAAAATTGAAGCCTTTAAAGTAAATAAAAATAAAGTAAAAGCATTTCCAAATCTTCACATGTATAAAAGATTTATATATGTATACAAATACATAATAAAATAAAAAATTTGCCATTGTTTTCTATCAACTAATTGATATGAAATGTTAACATATATATTTTTCCACTTGGAATTGAATTTTTTTTGTTATGTAGACATTTTGAATTTTTCAATTATTTTAACTCTGTAATGCATGATTTGTTTTTAAATATGAATAAAATTAATTAGCAATAAAGTCGACTATTTTACATATAAATATCTTAAATAGATACAAAATTTTAAAATTCAAATATATAATGTTAAATTGGTGTTACTTTTAGTATGTATGAATATATTATGATAAATTAATTAATTAATTAAAATAAATTTTTCAATTAATGTTCTAAATTTTTAAATTTTACACTTTTTATTTATCTTATTTTTTAATAAAAATAATAATATGAATTCATCAAATAGTTATAAAAAATATTTTTTAATTAAATTATATAATAATTAAATAATAAAATTATAAAGAAATTATTAACAAAATTTTAATTTTACATACTATAATTCTAAAAAAAATTATAAAAATAATAATTAAACATGTATACAACATATTATTTTAGAAAGCTATTGTAGCCTTGTATATTGTAATATTAAATAAATATTTAAAAATACTATTATTAGTCTTGTTAATTTTTTTTAAATATTATCTACTTTGTAACTATTGAATACACTTGTATACAATTAATTACATCTACTTCTTTTAGATTGTTTTAAACTATAGTAGCAATAATGATAGATTTTTTTTCTTATCAATCAATCTCTAGTGCTTTTAGGTGATTTTTGGTTGTAAAATTTAAATTGAAAATTGGATAACCTTCTCTAGTCAAAAGTTAATTAAAACATTAATATAAGTATATTGAAATCATTTAAATGTATATTTTATAGATATTTATATTTATGTGTGATCAATTTTATGCTTTCAAGATTAAAAAATATACATATCTGAAAAGTACGTAAATTTTAAACTTTTTAGATATCTGAATGTTTAAGTAAAAAATTTATATGATAATTTAAAATTTTAATTCTTTAAAAATATACGAAATATTTTCAAAGTTCCTAAAAGCAATTGATCTGATTAATTTATTTTTTATATGTTAAATTAACTTTTAGTATTTATCACAAATATATTTTATTTTTAGATTTATTTTTAGTGCTTTTAAACAATTTAAGTCTTTGAATGTACCTCAAAATGCTAATTGTATGCTTATAAGTTTATTTTTTCTTGATATTAATTTTTTTTAAAACATCAGAATTTTTCTTTCAAAGTTAAATATACATCAATATTTCATAAACCACAAAAATAAAAATCCGAAAAATAAACAAATTTACATCCAACACCAACTTTATTTTAAACTAAGATTATTTGATTTCATATTTGACTTTTGGTATTATGAAAATCAAAATCTAACCATTTTATTTAGTCTATAAAATAAAACATAAATAGATTGTAATTAATATATATTTATTTTTATCATATCTAATTATGAGTATTATAATTTATTTATTTTAATCCTATCTACTTATTCTTTTTGATTCTACCTCAATAAATCTTTAAATACTTCATCATAAGAAGGTTTTTTGCACTTATCCAAATCTAAGTAGATCTAGTAAATCAAATAACATGTTTGTGTAGTTGTATATTAAATAAGAAATTAATTATCTTTCTTTGTCAAATATATAGTATAAAAATTAATATTTCTTTTGTTAATAAGTTATTAAAATCATTAGAAATAATAAATAAATAAATAAGCTATTTGAGATATTTATTTTAAATTTTATTTAACATTCTTGAAATTGAAAATTTTCTACTTTTTAATATATTCATATCAAACCAATTAAAATAATATTCATGTAGTTCAAGAGAAGTTATATTAGCATCATAGATTTTAGAATTTTAAAAATGGATGCCAAATTTGTTAAATATAAAATAAGCAAGGCATCAAAACTAAGAATTATTTTTATATTGAATAAAATTACAAATTTGCACAGCTTGATCCTCCAACAAATACTTTCTAAGTCAAAGTGCAATACATTGTTCTAACCTCATTACACTCATGAATTTGAAATTGAAATTTGTGCTTGCAATGTTCAAAGGGTTGTATCTTTGATTTAGTATTTATTCTATGTGCATGGTAGTTGTGAAGATATAGATGGATCCGATATGAAGTGCCAATGCATTGTGAATGTCTAATTTTATAAGCAACCATCTCACAAAGAAAACTATCATAGTCATAAAAAGCACTAGCATTCTATTGAATGGAAAGTGTGTAATTTATTGACCAACAAAGCAAAAAAATTATGTTCTATAAATAAGAAGAAGTTAACCATCAACACATTCTTAGATAGCTTCAATGATGACTTGCACTTTGAGATTTTGGCTTTGATCATTGAAAAGATCATTAGTGATGCATTCTTCTATCCAAATGACTATAAAGAAGATGACTCCAAAGCCATCACAAAATAGAACATATTAAAAATGTTCTCTCAACAACCGAACAGTTTATATTTCATCAAGATTAAGAATCCCTTCAAATTCAAATTCTCTTTGAAGCATACATTAATTAGTCTCTTCTTTCATTAGATTGCTATGGCCATCAATCATCATAAAGACAAATTCAAGAATCCAAAACTAGATGGTTTCAACAACCACATAGTCAGCTAGTTTGTTTGTGTTCTCATGGGCATAAACATAAAAATCACCTCTAACATTCCTAATAATACATCTATATGATCCTTTTTCCTAATTGGAGACAGATCCTATCACCAAGGGATATTGTTTTCTAATATCCAAATCCGAGTTTGTATCAATGGTGTGCTCTACAACTTACATTTGATTGTCGTTCCTATTTTCAATCATCATATTGTCTTGAACATCATCTTACTATTCTGCAAAATGTTTGACAACATATATTTCAATTTGCATAGCAAACTTATTACCTTCAACTTAGATAGCAAAAACACCATGACATGTTAGCATAGTGGCATAGCCATCCTTTTTGACAAGAAAGCAACCAACTACTATAGTGAGTTGCGGAGAAGAATCTAGTATTTGCACCAACATCGCCCTAGTAGATAATGTATGCCATGGAACATCCCATGTTGAAAAGATGTAATATTACAATGGTCAACATACACTCTCTATATATGATTTTGTTGTTGTTGACTACAAAGATCAAGATTTTGATTGTGAATCTATGTGTGATGATAAGAATTGAATTGATTGACATCAATCACATATTTTTAGATGCTTCTTGATTTTACATGTACAATCATTCGTGGATAAAATTAAAGAATATTCTTATACATATCTATGATCAAGAATCATGGATCCACAATATATTTGCATTGTTGTCAACTCAAGAAAAGTTCCATATGCTTCTAAAAATTGCTGAATTTACAATATGTTTGATTGAGAGGATCTTAGGCATTCAAGCAAAGCCAGACATTGATAATAATATTTTGATAGAGGATGTCTCACCTATAATATCTATAATGCTTATCAAAATATGAACATGTACATTCATCACCAATATTCTTGATACTCATCACAATCACATCAAAAAGCACTGATTAGAAGTCAATATAGAACAAATTGAAACTAGTCACATGTATTTAGTCAAAACAAAGAACAGCAAGACAACGACCAAAGCCTCCATCAATTGCCACAATCATAAGACCATCTTTAACAATGCTTGGGGCAATGTTAAGGGTTGATTCATGTACCTTTGCAACTTTTGTAGAGGATTGGCTAATCTATTTACAAATATAACATCAATCGAGTAGGATTTTTCAATCTTGAAGTGAAAAAAATACAAGTTTTTTTTTCCAATTGCTAACTAATTTGGCTCTAAAAGGAGTATTCTAAATAAAACAATATGAAATTCTTTTTAGTATCAGGTAAAATAGATGCAATTCATTCAATATAGTTGATTCCCCTTCTCAAAACAACATTGATTCTCCAGTATAAACCATTGTTTTTCATTTGTTATTAAAAATGCCATATTTCATCATTAATTGGCACAAATTTAAGTTAATTTTGGTAATTTTGGCATTTGCCAAAATTTATGAGGTCATTGTTATACCTATCTTATTATTTATGTATCAAGCTTCATATTTTATTATACTTGCTATAGATTGTACTTCATATAAAATTAATCAAATACATTTATCTATTGAATTCAAAAATCCACAAATAGAATATTTTCAATAGAAAATTGTAGTAATTCTAATACATAAAACTTTCATACATAGTTAATATTATGATATCACAAAAAAATCTATATAATAAAATTTGGTCAAGTGAATGTTAAAGAATATGTATAGTAAGAGAGAAATTTATCTAATTATTTAAATGCTAATGTTTTTCTTACAACTTTCATAGAATATAATTGATTTATTATTTTACAAAATACTTTGAAGATATTAAAATAAATCATATAAAAATTATGTTAGCCACATTTTTCTTTTTGGCATACATTGTTGTTTAGTAAGCAAGTAATTCTTGCTTCACTATAAAATCTTTTAAAATTGAATTTTTGAAATTGATTCATAAAAATCAAACTGCCTACTTAATAATTTATTTATCTTCCTATGTATCAGAAATCAACTCACCTATAAAAATTTACTGAAAATGTATTTAGTGAAAACATTAAATAAGAAAGTAAATAAACAAATGAAATTCTCCATTATCAAAAGGAGTCACTAAACTTTGTATTAAACATGATCTCTTTTTCTTACAAATGTATTCAAAACATAAGATGAAGACCCCTATCAAAATGCAATCAAAGGGACAAAACCAGCAAAAATTAATTGATCATATCCTTTGAGCAATCATCCTTATGCTATATGGTGCAAAATCAACTATAATTATATGTTAACTAATAGCACCCAATACATCCCCAAAACAAGACTAAAAACTGTGAACCAAAGGAACACAGGACAGAAGGGGAAGTAAAAAAAATGACATAACTAGGAGTTCATTCCAACATTAGCTGTCAACGCATTATTACATTGCAGACCATTGAAGAGAGCTTTTGGGATGACAACCCAAAAGGCTGTGAACAGGAAGTATTATGTGTCAGGCTTAAAATCATGTTCAATTCGTAAGAAAAGTAAGTTGAGCTTTAAAGACAAGGGTTGAGGCAACATTCACATCAACCTAAAGAACCATATTGTGAAGTACCCAGCAAGAATTTTGCCAACGCAAGAAAATAATAAGAGCAACAAAGATGCAAGTCCCACCAGCAGTTGCGTAAAGACGTAAGCAATTGAGAGTCAAGTGCGCTATAATGCAACATGCCATGCATCTGTTCAACAAATACGTTCACCGCTTCGGTGATGTGACCAAGCACATGCTGACCAAGAAAATCTCTCAATCAGAACGTGCTGAATTGGGACAAACTATCTCAACGAACGAACGAAAGAAAGAAAGAAAGAAAAAGAAAAAGAAAAAGAAAAAAATGGTAATTATAGTTTCAACTTCAAGAAAATAAAGGGTTGAAAGTATAGATATATACACACAAGGTACAGACACTTGGTCAACAAATACACTCGACAACGAAACACAAATTAGAACGATACTATCCAATGAGGAACATCCAGTTGAGTGATGACACACATAACCGTAAAAATCTCATAAATATACATGCACTAAGAGCCTTTCCATTGGTACACCAAGTACCCACATTAGGAAGCTTTGCAAATTCCTAAAATCCTTAATCGTCCTGAGGTACAACAGAATCATATCCGCACACCTTCACTACCACAGGACCATCACTCGTAACAACTGTGAAATGCTACAGCGTTTTACTCCAATACAAGAGAAAAAGCAGGAGTTCAAAGCACACTCGGCCCTCAACGTGTTTACATTAGACAGAAAAGTGCCTGCGAAACGCTTCCACAAAGCGGACAACCTCTACCGGAGGAAATATTTTCACGCAGCAGTCTTCCGTAGACTTCCGAAATACCCCTCACAGAGCCAGCATCGGATTTTGCTTCCGAGCATGCTCGGGTATCAAACGATGCAGAATATCAGGAGTTGCACCTTTCAACTCTGTACCACCACCACCACACCCAACCATATTAAAAAACCACCATCTTGCCAACATTACTTTCTATCATACGAGTACAAACAACTGACAACGCTACAAACAACGTCTGCACAGCTCGCATCAAACATTGCCCTATGCCCACGCATCACCAAAATTCCCCACCTTGAGGTTTGAAATTGAACAGAGGCGGAAGTGGCCGTCCGTTCGGCAGGCGGCAGTTAGGATCCCTTAACTCATCAAAGAAAGGGTGCACACACGCTTCCAGCTGCAAATAACAACCACTTGCTTAATATCGTCATGTCAATCATCTGCAACGCAGTATCGTATTCAACTGCATCGATATGCTGTCGTTGCAAACTCGCTTTAAAATCATGCCTCGCAAACGCCACACAAACATCACAATCCAACGCACCCAACTGTCTGTAAGTGAAGCTACTCACAGCATTGCATCGCAGATTTGGAGAGTACTGTAGAAGTCTTGAAACCAGGTCGACTGCTTCTGGTGGCATGCGTTTATGGAATACCTACAATACTCACATCCACCCAGTCACACTTTGCTTACCCTCCAAGTCGCACATCCCACACATGCCCATGAAAGCAACAAACTGAACACCACAAGAGATGACGAGCCACACCCACCGCTCACACACGAAAACACGGTCGTACATCTCCACTTCTGGACTACACTACCAAAGCCCAAGATGAAAACAGTGCATTCACACAGACCACATACTTTGTGCCATGGGTGAGCCTTGATTTGCGGAAACTTGAACTCCGTGTAGTTCGGATTCATGCACTTGATCTCCTCACGAGTCGGTGTCCCCAACACCTGCCACAAAACTTTTCCTCAATAACATACACTCCACAGCATCATAACACTCCCGCAACAGTCACAACCAGCAAGCAAGTACGCCACCCTTCAACACAACACCGTGCATCGCCTGTGCCCTACCTTAATAATCTCCACCAATTGATCTACTCCACTCTCTCCGGGGAACAGAGGCTGCAAGGACATCCAAAATCTCGTCAAATTCAGCACTACTCCCCCACCTCACTCACCCAAACTCCATGACTCCGACTTGCAACACGCATACACACACATGTGGTCCGAGACCGCCACTAACTTGATGCAAAGAATCAACAATCCTCGGCATCCACTCAACCATATCATCTCAGGCCAACAGACCTCACCACAGCCACGCTACCAGTACCTGTCCCAGAAGGAGTTCAGCCATCACGCATCCCATCGACCATATATCGATGGCAGTCGTGTACTCTGTCGCTCCAAAAATCAGCTCAGGAGCACGGTAGTACCGTGAACAAATGTACGAAATATTGGGCTCCCCTTTCACCTGCACAACACCACCTCCGTCATGTCGCTCCACCGAGAAGTACCCTAATCAGGAATTAGTGCAACATCTCCACCACACAAGTAAAGTCCATTCCACTGGATGGTTCACAGCCTCACAATTTGAACAATGCTCACTCTCATCCAACAGATACTCACCAGAACTTTGGCGCTGCCAAAGTCACACAGTTTCAGTTGATGCGTATGGGGATTCACCTGTGCCACAAAAACCCAAGCCTGTTAAAACACCGTTCCAACTCTTGCAACTTCTCGTAGCCAATACAACACGCCTCAGTGACTTGCTAAAGTAATCACGTCCTAATGCAAGCGATAAAACGGACAATATCACGAACTTCAGAAGCCATCATTTACACAATGAGATTCGTAAGACACGTACCAGCAGGTTCTGTGGCTTGATGTCTCGGTGACACACACCAATGCCGTTATGAATATACGCCAAAGACCGGCAGATCTGATAAGTGTACAACTTTACGTATAGAAGAGGCATCCGTTGGTTCATGCGATTGTAGTGCTTTGCAATACGATACACCGTCTCAGGCACATATTCCAGCACCAGGTTCAAATACAGTTCATCTTTATCCGTCGTCGAAAAGAAGCAGTGTTTTAGAGCTACAATGTTCGGGTGGTCAAAAAGTCGCATGATCTGCAGCTCGCGATTCTTGTATCGTTTGTCTTGTAGCACTTTCTTGATCGCCACCGTCTCCGCAGTTTCGATACACTTCGCCTGATAAATTTGAGTGAACACGCAATTCAATCAATTCTATTCCTGAGCCAACTTTTGTTAGACGTGGACAGATGCGCCGCATGCCTTCATCCCGCGATACATACCAGAAGGTCACATACAGTCTGTCCGAGATGAAGAATATAAATCTACTACGAAAGAACGTAGCATCAGTTAAAATAGGGATCAATGGTGATAATTACCTGGAAAACGATCCCGAATGATCCAGTGCCAACAACTCGTTCTGCACAGTAGCTAATAGTCTGTGCAACACTCATGCAATACAGGGCAACAAATATCAGTACAGGTCACTTTTACCAGCTTTCAGGAGGACCTGACGTAGTCGAGCCCTGACAAAGCGCAGTACTCCAATCCATATCTACATGGATTACAGATGGTTCCTAGTATCGAGATCCATACAACAAGATGTCGACGGTATGTTCCATGAGCTAGAAAGCAAAAACTCAAAATCGATCCTCCCATTCGTTCTAAAGAAGATCCCAGTACCGCTGGTAGAGCTAATTTTTCGGGAAGACTACAGCGTCCTGCGATGCCAGGAGGGTTTGCGGACACGAGGCCGCGCCACACATTTACTCTCAACTACTCAGAATTGTCATTGCCATACCTGCTTAGGTTGCCCATTTCGCCCTCCAATTGTGGTAGCTATGATATGGCCAGTCTCCGTGCCATTCCCAGCTACTACTGACGCCTCGATTTCCTGCACATCGTTCCGATCACCTGATTACTTCAGGCCCACTGTAATTGAGCAGAACACACTCGAGTGTTGCAAAGCCAGTTCACGCTGATGTTCGAAACTAGCGGAATTATTCCAACAAGGTATATGCAACTGAACCAATCCAGAAACTCACTTGGAGTTGGAAGACTTGCATCATAACATTGAACAAACAAAAAATCGTGGCACGCACCTTATCATCGCTATGGTCAACTTTCTCATCCCTGAGCTTCATGTCGTGCATTTCTTTCGGTAATGATTCTACGCCGCTAGAACCTGCTTTGATTGGGGCTCCTCCTCCAATCATATTTGTGCTGCTAGTCACACCGGCAGTTGCAGATGCCATAGAAGGCGCACCACTCCCAGAGTAAAACTACACTTCACGTTTCTGTGCCTAAATTTGGTAGCTCTATAACTCGAGCAGCATCCCCTGGCTGCAGGTGACCGTACCCGTTACGGAAGTTCTAAATGCCGAAAAGTATGAGTGACAACACTGCCACAAACAGACAGAAAACATGTTAGATACCCTTTCGCTCCAGACTACAATATATCGAATTCAAGTCTATACATAAAACAGGGCTACAAGGACTGTAGTATGCCCACTCAGTGCACGATATAATCAAAAAAATAAAAAATAAAATGTTCAATTGAACACTAGAACATGTGGAAGCGAGTCCAAAACCAATCAGTTGAGGCCTCAAAAACTACTACCTTCAACAAATAACAATCTTACTGTAGACATACTGTAGATGACATAACGAGATTCTAAAATCTTCCACGTGCCAGCAGAAAACTGACGAGGCAATGTGAGACTATCCACGCACTGTAAAAATCCACTGAAAATCGCCGAGTCAGGCTTTGAGGCAAATTACAGCATATCGCAGAATGAACAGCTAAATATCTGATAGTTGAAATTCTATGAGAAAAAGCAGGGAAGGTAAGCTAATCGAGTCGGAGACTTGGAGGAAATCGATTAGACAAACACAACAGAAGCATCAATTTCAAGTCAAACGAGTGCTCTCCTCCCAAGCAGGAATCAAACACCGTATTCAGTACGAAGATAATTAAGTACAGAAGTGTACAGTGAAGAGTTCTACCAATCGAAATAGAAACTTGGACAGTCCAGATGAGAAAAATGTCAGAAATAGAATCAACTTTGAGCAAAGTACAGAGTACGATAAAGCGGAACCAACTGTAGGAACCTCGAAGGCCACAAGAGGGTTTTAAGCAAAGCATACAACAACAAACGTAGTGGAACCCAGAAATCCTCTTCCGAAAAAGTGATCACACGAGCAATCCAACACAATTATGGTACTTCGGATCGTCTAAACAATCCCATTATCAAAAGGTTTACACACACAAGGATAGACAACTTCCCAGCAACAGCCAATATACTCTTGAACCAGTAGGCGCCTAAATTATTGACTCCGCCGAGGAAAGCAATAGTAAAAACACGCACGAGTGTCCCTATTACTGATACCAAAGGCTGAGAAGGAGTAATTGACACAGAACTTCAATTTAATATCTCGGGTCAAAGCATCACTACAGTCGTACCAAATTCGTACATCGATATGAAATCCCGCCTTGTGATCACGAGCGTTCACATACTATGAAACGATATAGGCAATTCAGCGAAGAGCTAGCGTAGAGTACGCTGGAAAAGCGTTACCTAAAAAGCCACATAAACAAGGAACTATACACATCGTATGGAAATTATATGCCAATCATACGTTTCAGAACCACATTTCGCTTACACAGTCTAATTCCATATTGTAGCCCACTACCAGGAGGGCATGTCCTTGACGAAAGGTACATATTTCTCCTACTCAATCCGAAACGGACGAAGTAAGCCCTCGGAGGTCAACCGAGGGGAAGTCGTGTCGGGAAAGCTGAGCTTCTCTTGTAAACAGGCATTTAACATCTGCGTCTAGTGGAATATCATCGGCAATGCACACATCAATCCAGCCCCGGGGAGAAAAATCTTACATATTCAGTTATCAGTCGAAGCTAACTACTACACCCCGCACATCACATGCATGGCAACGATGACGGCATCACCTCTTGCCACAAGCTCCACTCATCACCATCTCCTCTTCCCTCCATTTCCCCTCCACGCTTCATTCATACTTAACCACTTCGCAGAGTTTCTCCCCTCTCCTCCAAAGCCGTTCTTCACTACACCTGGTCGTTACCAATGTAATACCTCAAACGAGCCCATCAGCTGACCCCGCGAATACCTTCTCACACCCTAGTGAAACACTATCAGAATGGATGGACTCAGATGCGCTGCCCAAGGGAGATCTTAGCAAAATGACACGGAAGGAACTGCGCTCCTTATGTTAACACAACCTTTAGAAAACAACGCTTCCAAGAGGCACCACCTCTTCCAACCCTTCCCACCACCACCATGTACAACATAATCTTCTCTCTCGTCCAATCCCTATGCACGACCTTCCCTTCCTTCCTTCCTTCCCATCTCTCTGCGTCCAGAGCCAACCCCGGCTCCTCCGCAACAACCACGCCTCTTGCCTCGCCCCCCTTCCCAGTCTCCACCGATTCCAACCTCCTCCAACTCCTCCTGTTCCTCACATCAACCTCCTCCTCTCCACAAACTCGTCAAATTTCCCAGCCGGTGACCTCACAAACCGATGCACCTCTCAAAATGGCCAAAAAAAAAGGCAAAAAAATTAACAATTAAAATTAAAATTAAAAAAATAAGGAAGAAGGAAGGGACGAAACGGGGAATCAATCAGGCAAGGAAGAAGAAAAGGAATCAAGCAAGAAGAAATAGAGAGGGAGGAGAAGAAGAGAAGAGCGGCGGAGGCAGAGCGGCAGAGAAGGAGAGGGAAAGGAGCAACGGAGATGGAGGATCATGGCCATAGCCAGCAGCCTAATGGATGATGATGATAATAGTCGTATGTATGAGATCGTATGTATGAGATCGTATGTATTAGATCGTATTAGTATGAGTAGGAGTACTCCAAATGGATACTCTCTCTTCTCTCTTCTCAATTGGTATGGTGATGTGATGTCATCGTCGTCGTTCTTCTTCCTCCCCCAACCCCCTTGACCGCGGGTACCCATGGCCCCTCCGTACCCCCTTTACCGCGCTCAGCGGAAACGAATCCGTCCCTCACGCACCTACTGTTGGGAGCATCTCTTGTTCCCAACGTTCCTTTCTTTCTGGGCACCAGGGTTCCCCTTGGTAGATTTGGATGGCATTCTCTTTGTAAAACTACCATACCTTTTGAAACTACCAAGCTCTAATGGCATTTTTGTATTCAATATTTTCTAATATTATCATTAATTTAATAATATATACATATATGTATTATTAAAATAGATAAATCTAAAGTTTTCTTGAAGAGCATAGTAAGTTGTGTAAATTTTAAGTTTGTTATGCACAAAAAGTTGCAAGAGAAGATGTAAGAGGTGCATGTATAAACAAAAGTGTAGCTGATAGATTAGGCCAACTTTGGTGGATGTTTTAACTCCATTTTTTAAAAAAAGAATTAATTTATTTATTTAGCAATGTACAAGAAACTTAAGCAAGATTTTTAAATAGATGTTAATTAGGCTCATTTTTTTGTTGTAAGAACCCTTGATTCATTTTAGTCAAAAGAGGCATTATAAATATAAATAAATAATTAATTAATTAATTAAAAAATATAAATAATATAAGGAGCTATAGAGATCTCACTTCTTGTTCCAACCACTATGTTATATAAATTTTTGATAAAAGTGTGTATTTATTGATATAATATAATGAATAAAATATAGAAGCTCATATACTATATGTTGATTATAAAATTAGATATAGAATGAAAATTAAAAATATATCTTTAAAAGATAATAGAATCTCTTAAATTGTATAGTTGATTTGAAGAAATAGTCTTTTTAAAAAATAATAAATAAATAAATAGATATTTTTACTTTAATAATTAAGAACCATAAAAATATATGAATATATATATATATATATATATATATATATAGAGAGAGAGAGAGAGAGAGAGAGAGAGAGAGAGAGAGAGAGAGAGAGAGGAAAAATGTTTAATTCATAACCTCAAATAGATGAAAATTTTATAAATTATACAAGGTTTCATAATTTTTGTAGAATCATGCAATTTTGTAGTTTTTAGGTGATGTGGTAATAGAAAAGCATATAAGAAATATAGGTGTATAAGATTTTTATTATTGTTATAGATATAGATATTTATCTAGATAAAAAAAATTTAAGATAGAAGATAAATATAAGTAGATTTGCTAATATTGTATGGAAAAGATTTTTAGAAACTTAATAGATATTGATTTGACTTTATACTTATTTTTAATTAATTGATAGATTAAAAATTCGGCCAACAAGTTGGCTATATACTACACATATTAGCAACTTGTGGTATAAGTTGGCCATGTGGCATACATATACAAAACTTCTCTTGCAAGTTCAATATGTATCCAACTTGAGAAATACATGTCAAAGATCTTATAGAATATTGTCATGTAGCTCTTAATTAGATAGTTTATATCAAGGCAAGAGTAAAGCCTTCTTCATTCTTATCAACATCTTTGTTATTTTCAGTCTTGTTTTAAGATTCTCTAATCTTCTTGTATTCAATAATAGACATTCTAGTTTAATATTATACCATATTTAAGTAATTATGTACTCTTTTTGAGTGACACAAGAGAGTATTGAAATTTTAATTATTTTAATTTATATTCTTGATAATTTTAGTAATGAGATTTTTTTTTTAGCTTCTACATATTTATTTATTATGAATGCCTATACTTATAGAAGTATTAAGATAAAATATATACATATACATATATATAGAAATATTTCTCATTTATAAACTAAGACTAAGTTCTAATAAAATAAAATAAAATATTAATAATAATATTTTTTATTATACTAAAAGCTATTAGTTTTATAAAAATTTATATATTAATTATACTTTAAGAAATGTAAACCAAAACCACCATATCATCATCACAAAATATAAGTTTATCTATTTTAGCCTCTTTATTGTCTTTTTTGTTTTAACTCTTCATTCTTTTTGTTATAATGAAATAATTAAATTAAACTTAATAAAGGCTAAGTATTTCAAGAATTAGATTTAGATTCTAAATCCTAAATCTTTGTCATGTGATATGACATTGAGTATCAAATCTTATCAATTGTATGTAGTTTAATTTTATTAGAGGTTTTATATCTATTGAGAATTTTTTGTTAATTGACTATATTAATATCAACTATGGCTTAAATATTTAGATAGAAGAAAGTCCTTAATTTGACATTCTTAAGAGTGTGTTGGTTATACATTTGTATTTGGTTTAGATTAGATACTTTGTGATTGATTTGTAGCACTTAATATATTGTGTGTAACAATCTTTGTTTATATAACATCCTAAATATGGTCCTTTTTGTTAATCATATAATTCTTGAAGAATTAAATTGTTCAAATATATCACCACTACAACCTCTCAATTTCAATCTCTCTTCATGTGAAAATCATTAGTACTAAATTATACAACTTAAAAGTCCAAAATATAATACACATGTGAATATATCACATTAATCATATCTCAAAGTACATGATATTGGTATTGAAAATTTGAAAAAAGTAATTTGAAGCAAATATATGACAATTAATAACATTCTTTAGGAATATATTGTCAATTGGTTAAAGACATAAATCTTAAAAACAATTAAAAGATCAATACATTCTTATATCACTCAAAAAGACTTGAGAATCATTCAAAGATGGTATAATATTAAAGTAGAATAATTATTATTAAAATTAAAAAGACTAAAAATTCTTGAAATAAGATAAAAGATTAAAATGGCATTAATAAGAGTGAAGAAGGATTCATTCTTATTTCCATATATAGTTCTAATTAGAAGCTCCATAGCGATGTTCTATAGGACTTTCAATATATTTCTAAATTGCAAGACATATGTTTTAACTTATAAGATAAATTTCATATATGCACACTATATTGTTAACTTATATTATAAACTACCCACATATACAATACATGGCTAATTTATTGACTAAATTTCTAACTTATCAATCAACTATAAATTTGTATAAAATCAAATATATATCTATGAAGCTTCTAAGAAGCTTTGCCATAAGATAATATCAAATCTATCTATATTTATTTTCTATTTAGTATTTTTTATCTAAATAAATATATATATTTTTGACATTATCCTTCCTTCTAGAGACAAGTTCTTTGAGAATTAGCCATTGTATGTTGAGAAAATTGAAGATGCAGCAAATTGTATTTGTCACATACTTTAATCTTTATTCTCTTTGAAGGTGGTTGATAGGTTTTTTCAAGCGATAATAATGTCTCCTATCAAGACAAAAAGACCACTATGTTATTTAATTATTTTTGAAGCTTTCATAACTCTATTCAAATAAAATATTTGGAATATTGTTAAGAATTATTTCTACCTTTGATAAAATTACCAAACATTAGAAGTCTCTTCCAAGATTGTGATATCAAATGTGTTATATCTTACTATCTATTTTTTAAAAAATATATTATTATTGAGGATCTTCATCTCTATTATGTTGTCTTTAAGGCTCTGATAATCACAATGTCTCATCCATTAAGTCAAAAAATAATAGCTCTTATATGAAATTTGTTGGCTATTAATTTTCGATCTCTTTAGTACCCTAATACACAAAAGTTACAAATAATGATAGAAAGTAGAATCCAATCTTCTATAGATCTTGTTTCATTTGTAGAAAAGTTTTGATATTCTTCATCTTAATTTTGATATATATTAGCAATGATAAAAATCAATTTCCTTTGCTACATTTGTAAGTTTCTTAACAGGCTCCTACATGCATTCATTAATATTATATCCATACAAATGAATAAGATATTCCAACTTATTTCAATATTATCTTAAGTTTAAGACTTCTTTGATCATGTATTCTTAATTATTGTCCATTTCTATAATAAGAAGTGGTATTTTTCTTCTTTTGGTAATATTTATTATCTTAGATAGTTCAAAAAAAAATATATGGAATATGAAATAGATCTTTTTGGATACTTGTAGATGTAATCAATAAGCAATAAGATTGATTTGTTTATATGTAAAAAATAATCTAAGCATATTGTAATCCAACTTGTCACAAAGATAGTTAATCTTGATATTGCAACAAAGTAATCATATCTTGTTATCAATATAGAATTGAAGTAGCTCTTTGCAATAAGCATCTATCTTGATCTTTTATTGTTCTTGAATTCTTTTCATTGTACCTTCATTATTGTATGTAGCTTAGATAAATAATTTTTCAAATCTTTTGCTATAAGAATATTAATTTTTAAAAAGTCAAAAGCATTAAATTGTGAATGATATTCATAATTAGTAAAAAAAGATCTTTTTTTGCAAAGAAGAATGTATTGTGTTATTATAAACAAACTTTGTCAATGGTAAAAAAAAATCCAATCATCTTGTTGGTAGTTGAAGATATACCTCAAATATTGCTTCAAAACTTGATTTATATGGTGTATTTGTCCATCTATTTGATGATGAAAAGTCAAAGATAGCTTTATGTCCATATTTAAAATCTTAATATAAATTAAGTTTCACCATTCAATATAATATTGTTAAGCTATTCATGATAATAATAGATATTATCAATGAAAAGTTCAGTTTTTTTTTATTTGAAATAGATTTTGTGTATGGTAAAAAATATGCTACTTTGGTAAAATAATCCACTATCATGAATATAAAATTATAAAAACTTGAGACTAGATAATTTGTGATAAAATCTATAGAAACTAAAAACCATAGTTATTTTAGAATTGATAATGGCTAAAAAATCCATAAGATTGATAATAGAG